TTTCTAACTGCTGTTGAACTTATTAGCTTGCAAGGTCACTTCAGACAGCAGTTACCAGCCTGATATTTCTGTGGATCCGGAATCACATGAGCCAGATTAAATTGGCAGATTTCCTTCCTTAAAAGATGTTAGTGAACCAGCCTGGCTCTTTTGGCAGAGTGATAGTGCTTCTTTCTCAGAACCGGAGCAGAAATGAGCTCTACCATGACAGAACAGGCTGATTCTCATATTGACCCAGATTTGGTTTCAGCAACAATCATTGCACACTTACCACTTCACTAGCATTTTAATTCATTCATTGAATTTAATTAAAAGATGCCTTCATGGGATTTGAACTCAGAAGCATTTGCCTAGGCTTGACTAGCTTACTAGTCCAGTGACTTTCTCACTATGCTGCAAGCTCCCTGCTAATGTGCCCATGGGATTCAGTACGGTTCCCTTTAGAATTGGCATACCATGTCAGATTTTTGCTTCATCATTAGGATGGGTTTGACAGAATTGCCCATCTTCAGACCTCGACCACTGAGGACAACAGCAGCAAAGCATGGAAACACAATCATCTCCCACTCACACCACCGTGACATTGGCATGAGTCTCCATTTCTGTATCGTTACATGGTCAACATTTTTTTTTTAATGCCCACAAAATAGGATGAAAATAAATAACTGCAGGAGGTAGGTTAAACTTGATGGGTAAGCAAAGGCAGAATATGAGGAGCAGGAGTACACCCATTCAGCGCCTCTAGCCTGCACTACCCCAGAAGATCTTTACATTCGCAGATGCTGGAAATCAGAAATCAATTTTGGAAAATGTTAGAAATGGTCAGCAAGTGGAAGGGTAGAAGAGGTGAAGACTCATCATGGGTTTTCCATTCATTCCATTACCATTTTTATCTGCTTTGCGCCATTGTTCCCCGTTATCATTTAGCCAGCCTGCTATTGACCTTCCCTTTTGTTCACCACCTCCCTCAACCTCCTATATTCTGTGCCGGTTTAAAACCTGTCAATCCTCGAACTCTTTTTCCCCCCAGCCCTGATGCAAGGCTGTTGACCCTGAAACATTAACTCTGTTTCTTTCTCAGCAGATGCTGCCGGACATGCCGAGTATTCCCAACATTCCCCGTTTCGGTTTGAAATGTGCAAAGTATTGTTCCTTGACGTCATCCCAGCCAGGACTGCAGTAATCTATGGATATGGACCTTCTATGGATATGCAATGAAGCATTACCTGCTTCCTGAGAACAAACCTTTCAAAAACTGGCATTCTCCGCAGTTCCCGAAGGGATAGTTCACTGTCTGTGTCCGCTGTGGCACAGTTGACAGTACTTTAGCCTTTGAGTCACAGAGTGTGTCTTCCATTCTGCAAACGTGGAACCCCACTTCAGTGCAGTGCTGTGGTTGCACTACATTGTTGGAAGCGTTGACTTTCAGATCAGACCTTAACTGAAGGCCCCTAACTGCTCCCGCGGGTAAATGAACTATTCTTGAAAATGATAGAACGGCCCGCTCCATGCCTTGCTTATCTTATTTTTTTTTCTGAAGGGTCTAGCCCGAAACGTCAGCCTTCCTGCTCCTCTGATGCTGCCTGGCCTGCTGTGTTCCTCCAGCTCTACACCTTGTTATCTCATGATCTTATTGCAGTCTGCTCCGACTTCCCTGTATTACAGGAGCAATTATATTTCAAAACCACATGGTTGCGTGTAAAGCGTTTCCGGATATGGTTATGAAAGGCGCTCTAAAAATTAGCTTCGTCTCAATGAGGGTGAGTCTGTACAATGAATGGGAGATCAGCAAATGAACCAACACTTTCGCTAACAACTTGATGTTGACCCAAACAGCAATCGTCAACTCTTCAACACTCTGAATGCCTCAATAAAGTCACAAAGACAGTTAGGATTTAGTTTGTAAAAGACAAGTACGATAGATTTGGGTTAAAAGCAAAAGTTGTTGGAAAGCTCAGCAGGTCTGGCGGCATCTGTGAAGAGAAATCGGAGTTAACGCTTGGGGTCCGGTGACCCTTCCCCGGCATCCTTTTCACAGATGCTGCCAGACCTGCTGAGCTTTTCCAGCAACTTCTGTTTTTGTTCCCGATTAACAGCGTCCGCAGTTCTTTGGGTTTTTACAGAGCTAGGTTAAACTTGTATGTTTTAACTGAGATCCAATTAAAATGGGAGCTACAGTTTCATCCCAATCCATAGAGAGCTGCAGTCATTCCTATCTGGGGATAAGGCTGTTTGGTACTGGACTGAAATTCCGCTTTGGGGAAGACGGGGAGTGGCAAATTCATTGAACGCCTCTATTCTGTGTCATAAATGAGCCTCCTAGGAGACGAGATTTTCCACAACTGGACTTTTCAGGGACACGAATCCCACTAATGGTTGTTAATGACAGGGAAAACACAAACATTTTCCAGCCTTTCCTTGAAAGAGGAACGTTGTCTGTCGCTGTTTCACACTACATCTCGGACCGAGCTGGGAGGGGACGGTGGGATTCACTGTAATAAAGATACCGAGGACCCTGGTGCTGGTGGGCGCGAGTTGGAGCTTAGTGACCAGGCAAATGTGTTCTGAACGTTGTCTGTATCAGAGACACCACAACAAAGCTGCGTCTATCGAGGAGCTGTCATTCGCATATCTCCGTTTCAAATGGACCTTTATTTTGTAACAAAAGTTTTGAATTCCTCGTGCTTCAGATGTTCCGATAACACCGTCAAGAATTTTCCAAGTCGCCTCCCTTTTGGTTTTTGTTTCAGGTGAACGAGAAACGGGGGCAAGGCGCTCTCGGAGCGTGTAAAGTTGAGAGCGAGCACGCCCTCACAGACTGTGACAGGTCTCATTTAAAGAGACGGCGCTCTCTTCGCCCTGGCTGCTACTTTAGGGATTTAACCGCGGCTGAGCCAAGGCGGAATTCCGAGCTCCCAGTCTCTGTGTGCCCCGGTTCCTTTCCAGTCACCCTGTCCTTTCTCCACCCCCACCCCACCCCCTTTTGATAACTGTTGCCAGTCTCCAAATCCCCCTCCGGGCAATGGGGGAGACATGAAGAAAAGCCACGAGGTGCCGCCGGGTCGTCTGTGGTTCTTGTCGGTTTGAGACCAAGTAGTGGTTTTGTCATTGTTTTTCCTTGAAGGATTGAGGAAGAGCTGTTTGCTGGGGCTGTTGGTGAGGGGAGGTGATCCAGCAACCACCCCCCCCCCCCCCCCCCATCGCCAGCACCCAGTCACCGGCTGCCTTTGCTTTGGTGAGTGTTCACTTGTGTTCTCAAAATTCTTGGCTGTCTCTGGTCTCTTTCTCTCGGTTCCCCTCACTTCGGGAGCGAGACTGAGTGCGCGTGTGTGTGTGTGTGTGAGAGAGAGAGAGAGAAAGGAAATGGGAGCTGAAACTTTTACACACACACACACACATGGGGAAGGGGCTTAGAGAAAGGGCCAGCCAGTTCTCTCGACCCATCCTGACCACTTACACCCCCACAGTCTCAAGCTAACAAGTAGACTACCCACGATTCCACTCCCGTCACTGTCACTCTCTCAGCCGGTTCAGATCTGCGGAAGCGGCACCCTCGTGGGTATCAAAGTTACTTAATTCACCAGCAGTGCATTCATTCAAAATATTCCCTCCTCCTCCCCCTCAAAATAAAACTCTAGGATAACTAAATCGCACCCCCCCCCCCAATCCATTGCAGGAAACCAGGAATTGTACGCAGTGTCAGGTGTAAGTTTCGTTTTTGCTGATAAATTGCTCATGGCTGAGGTGACTACAGAGCGCTTCACCTGAGAACTCCGTTTTCCGATCTATAACGTGTCCCAGGGCCGATTGCCCGTAGATCTCTGCGCAAACTCCACGTTTGTACGTGTGTCTGCGTTTGGCAGTGTCTGTCTGTGTGTACATATTTGTGTGTGTGTGTGTGTGTGTGCCTATCCGTGTGACTGTGTCTGTTTCTGATTGTTTCTATGTCTCTCTGGGTATGTGTTGGTGTGCCTATGTCTATTTGTCTATGTGTGCCTGTGTCTTTCTCGGCGTGTAGCTGTGCATATTTCTCTTCGTGTGTGTCTGTGTGTTTGAGACTGTGTTTATCTCCCTGTGTGTATCTCTGTATCTGTGAGTGTATGTGTTTCTCCCCACGTGTGTATGTGTGTGTGACTGTACGTGTTTCTTTCTGTGTATGTGTATCTGTGTGTGTGTATCTGAGTGTGTGAGTCAGTGAGTATCTGTGTGTATATCAGTGTCTGTGTGTGTGTGTTTGAGTATCTTTGTGTGTGTGTGTGTCAGTATGTGTCAGTGTGTCTGTATCTGTATGTGTGTGTATCTGTGTATCTGTATGTGTGTATCTGTGTGTGTATCTGTATGTGTCTGTGAGTATCTGTATGCGTCTGAGTATCTGTATGTGTGTGTATCTCTGTGTGTGTGTATCTGTATGTGTCTGTGAGTATTTGTATGTGTGTGCATCTGTGTGTGTGTACCTGTATGTGTCTGAGTGTATGTGTGTGCATCTGTGTGTATCTGTATGTGTCTGAGTATCTGTGTGTGTATCTGTATGTGTCTGCGAGTATCTGTATGTGAGTATCT